TCACTGATTGTGTCTGGTCCAAGTACCCTTCAAAACCTGGAGTTGGCATGGTGCTGCACCTTCATAAGGAGTGCAGCACAGTATCCTGGATGGCCAGGCGATCCTGAAGAATGGAATGGGATAGAGTGCTGAGGGATAGGATTGTCCAGACTTGGGTGAAAACCCCTTGTGTAGATAGCCCTAGATTTCTTGAGCCTCATTTAGAGCCTGCTACTTGAAGACCAGACGGATGTGCAGGCTACCCAGAAGAAGCTGTGTACTCTGGTTATACCTCCTGTGAATACATCGGGCTCTGAAGCAAGGAACTTGAATCTGCAGGACTGGTACTTAGCCAGTCACCCAAAGACCATCATTCACCTGTTAGGTCCCCGTAGAGAAGACAGGAGCACAGTGGAAGAGGGAAGTCACAGTAGGCTTCCTGCCAGCCTCCTGCTTCCAGCTTGCTTGCAGCTGAAAGGCAGGACCCAGACAAGATTCACTATTTAAGAACTTGGTGTGCTTAAATCATTGCTGAAATAGGCTTACCATAATTCACGTGATAAAGCTCTTGGCTGCAGCTCTGCAACATTTGCTCCTCAGTACCAAAACAGCAGCTACTCCAATGCAGAAAAAAGCATGTTGGGGAACAACTATGCTAGATGCTTCTTACATGCTTGCTTCTTGTGTGACAGGATACTGGTTTTATTAGTGTTATTAAACAGGAGTTTACTCAGTCTACTGAGTTTCTTCGTACAGTATGACATGTTGCAGCCCATATGGACATTTACCACTTCATGAGAACTAGGAGGCAATAATGTCTGCCATTTCCCCAGAGTTTTCAGAAGTTCTACTCAACTGAATTTGCCTTTTACTTTAACACCTCCTGCAAATTCTGACCCTCTTACCGTTCAGCAGTTAAACGCCAGTGTGATTTCCCAGATTTCAAAAGACCTTCTCATTTTTATCACCTGTCGGGTTTTACAAAACTTAGGAGCATGCTGAATACCCACCAACCACAATACAGGGGAAGGGGGGAAATAATGTAGTTTGATGGGGACACATGTTAAGCACCTGTGAAATCCCAGCCTAGCCAGAACAGAACAGTTACTTGTTGTGCATGGTATTTATTTATTTAAAACATTTCTGTGCCGCCCCATCGCATTAAAGCCTCGGGGCGGCTCACAAAACATCAATAAACAACAATACAATAAAACCCCAGTGCAATAAAACCTCAGTGCATTCTCGGCTAAAACTTTAAAAAAAAAACCTAGTTAAATAAATTAACAATTAAAATACGTTTTAAATAAAAAGGTCTTAGCCTGGTGCCGAAAAACAAATGACGGCACCAGGCGGACCTCTCTGCGCCACTACAGAGAAAGCCCTCCTCCGGGTACTCACCCTCCTGATGTCATTCACAGATGGTTCCCGAAGAAGGGTATCTGCTGCTGACCTCAAGGGGTGGGAGGGCATATATGGGAGCAGTGGTAGTTCCACACATTATCACCATTGTCTACAAGCTCGATTCCCGACAAAATAGAAATGTGTCTTTAAGTTGAATTTGTATGTAAGTCGGAACACATATAGTTGCCGCTCCACATTTGTGGGTGCTAGGGGCATAAGACTCCCATGAAAGTGGAAAACCTGGGGCTATCTGTAGCTACCCCAAAACTCACCAGTGCCTCCTCTTTGCATTAAGGACATGCAGGAGAGATTTCTCTCTCTGGACGGGTGGGGCAGGAAGGCATGCATTGGAAAGGCTCTCCCTCTCCGTTTGCTTCCCCTCTCTTTATGGTTATGACAATTTTCTGCAGTATTTTTTAAAGTAATAGGCTTTATGACAGTTCATAGGTACAGGTTGTCTGTAATTTGGCGTTCATCACTTGAGGACTGCCAGTGTTCATAAGTAGCTGACTTACTGCTGTAAGACATGGGCAGCCAGTGTGGTATAGTAATTAGAGTGCTGGATTCAAACTTGGGAGATCCTGTCCTAGCCCCACTTCAGTCATGAGTGACTCTCAGTCTAACTTAACTTGCAGGGTTTACTGTGAAAATAAAATGGATGAGAGCAGACCTGTGTAAGCTGCTTTGGATTCTTTGCAAGAAGAATGAATAACAGTAATAATACTAATAAATGATTAAATGCAAATAAATGATACATTAGTATGAATTAGTTGTATGTAAGGCACACATTACATCTCTGTTGCCTATTATTCACTCAGTCATGCAAGCTGTGCTCCTTCCCTCTTCTACTCTGTCCCCCCCCCCCCCCAGTTTTTTCCAGAAGTGTGTCTGACCATCTGGAGATCCTAGTGGGAGGCTGCAGGATGGAGAGGGAATCCATTCTGCTAATGGTGTCCCTTTCCCTGGCAGACAAACACAGTTGGATTTCAGCCCAAGCATGTACATGTCTCCTTTAGTTTGTTGCACCAAGGAGCCACAATTGGCTCAGGTTCTGATTTCTACAGTGTATACAGAAGTAAAAGAATAAACTTCAAATATCGTAGTTCAGGCAGGGACACGATGCAACATTAACTTATAGCTGATAAAAATCTTAAAATGCAAAGTATTCCTTAATACAGCAAAATGCACTAACCTTGTTCCTAGGCAAAACAGCCTTTGATACAGTTTCCTTGGCATTTGGCAGGAACATATAATATCATTAAAAGGTTGCTATGAACTTCACACATCTGCTGCATTTTGATTTGCCCTGATTGTTCCTGCTAATGCCTGATAATAATTCTTTTGTACAGTCTTTGTGCATCAGTTGTTAGAATGGAAGCTAGGAAGAAGGGAGGAGTTTTGCTAAAATAAGTGTGTAATCCTACTATACGAACCAAACTTTGGTTCTTTGGTGCAAGTGAAATCACTTAGTTTTTATTTAAAATTAGAGTGCATTTTGATTCTTTACATTATTTTAATATGCAAGTGTTTTGTCTTCATTTAGTCTATATTGTGGTAAAAGTAGTTGCAAATGAATGTCAGAGTGTGTGCATAGAAAATTTGACCTTTGGAAAGTAGACATTGAGGAAGCAATTTAAAAAAAATACCAGTGGAGGTGTGGATGGTAAAATTGGAGGTGGGGAAAGAGGGAGGCAACAGAAGCAATCGAATTACACTTGAATACTGTAATTTCAGTATGGTCATAGTTAGTGGAAACAAACCATAGAAATTTAACATGAAAACACCATTGTTTGAAAAAAATTGTTATTTTTATTTCATTATAAATGGGGAAATTTTAAACATGGCTAGAACTTTTGTTGGAAGCAAATACAGTGCCGAGGGCTTGTAAGTTAATGTGAAACCATAACAATTTCAATTCATTAGTAAAATACTTAAATTCCAACTACTAGTCGATCTTCTCAACATTTTGCATTTCTTTCCTGTAAGAGCGGTAGGTAGGCCATCTCTTGCCTGAGTTTTATTCTTTGTTGGTTTTTGCATGTTTAAGTGCAAGAGCAGAAATTTGATGTTCCACTCCAACTCAGGCACTCGCACTATAGAAGATCAGTATAGAGCTCAGTAGAGCCCTAAGGTACAATCCTAAAAAAATCATATAACTTCCCACCCTGCCTCGCTGCTGGAATTATTGGACTTATTTCTTTCAAAATATAGATAGGCTTACACTTAAGCACTGCAGGCGAAAAGCCTGTGTGAACCGCCAAGCCTTCATATTCCCATCCAGATCTTCTTACATGGTAGAAATGATGCAAACCTGGAAATCATTCACTTAATCTACAAGTAAATTCTATGAATATTTAATAGTCTTAATTCAGGAAATGTGTTTTCTGATTTAAGTAGTTTCTTTAAACTGAAACGCCATATTCAAATGGGTGCTTTCCTGGCCCCTAAGTAGATTAGCTATCTAGTCTCTAGTCTGGCTGTGTAGGTGCATGAATTAAACAGGTGCCTAAATTCATTGGGAAACTCAGAGTACTTGGGGAAGTAAACTGTTTTTATATGCAAATTTATAGAACCTTTGCATTTTGATGTTTTGTTTAGACTAGGAATAACTTAAAAACCTATTTTGTTTCTGTGAATCATGTTATTACATTGTCAATAGTTGAATACAAGTTCCAGGTGGCCAAGTAAGTTAAAACTGTAGAACCACAAAATGACACGGATACAGTTACTTGCCTGGAAAACCCTTTCAGTTTCTTTTCAGCTGCCACTCTCCGTTCTCCTGGATTCCTTCTATTGCAGCTCCAATAAGCCAGTGTTGTAGCTTTCAGGAATCTAGATACACCCAGCAACCTAGGTAGGCCAAGTGTTTGGTTGCTAGGAAGGTCTGTATTCAAATCCCTGCTAAATCAAGAGGCTTACTAGGTGAGTTGAACCAGTCCATGACTGGCTGTCATGAGTATCTAGCTAGGATGATTTGCTATGCTGCCTGAACCCACGTGACCTCCCTCAGTTTTGGTAGCTTCGTCTCTTAAGATCTCTTGGAATGGACTTGATCATTTGGAGGAGATCAAGACAATAAATCTTTTACAGTGCCCTCTTCTGTCAAAGCTCAGAGGAACAGAGGCAATTTTAATTGCCCCTGAAGAGATTGGGTATTTTGGGAACTGTCTTTCTTAAACATGTTGATAGTAACAGATGTACCCTGAGTGGAAAGGATTAATCAGTTACATTCAGCTACAAAAATAAACAAAAACTTCATATGGATTTGCATCAAGCCCTTGAAAATCATGTGTTTATTTAAAATAAACCTTACTGTTTTTAGTGTACTTTGCCATCTAGTTCTTTGGTGCTTTTAGAAGTGTTTACAATGTCTGTGCCTTGAGCATTTCTTAGCTTCTATGACAGCCAGAAACTATAAGCACATTGACTTAAATTTTGAAACAGATAAACAAAACTGGAACACAGAATTACATTTTACTCCATGGTCAAAGCTTAGGGATATGCCACCTCCTGAACAAACTCTGTACAACAGAGTCCGACCTTCTTAAAATCTCTAAGCTTTTTTTTAAAAAATAAAAATGCCATAATTTCTACATTAATGGGTTTTTTTGGCCTCTTAGGTAAGAGTATGGAAGAAATTAAAAAGATGCTCCTGCTAGTGTTAGGCTGTGCTGTGCAGGTAAGTTTACTACTAAATTATTACCAGATCTAAGGCACAGATTCAGTCCATAGGTTTCCATAGGCTAGAGCCAGGAACCTCTCAAGTCTGATCCCTTGGACCTTGTGGCCCATAAGAACATAAAAAACATTATGTTAGATTCTATGTGTGCTTGTACCAAAGATTTTTATAAGGGGAGTAAGATTTTGGTAGTTCTATCCTCTGGATGTATGTGCTGTAGATGTGCATGTATAAAGTATTGTACATAACATTGTTGTGCTGTGTTAGTTATAGTCTGTGGGATGTTCAGTGGGGTAGGAGGAAGGATGGGAGGCTAGAAACAAAGGAGAGGAGGGTTGGATACTGGGTTGATACTATTTGAATAATCCATAAACTTTACATTAAAAGTATGCTAGCAACTTGATTAGAAGAACAGTGCTGATACAAGCCCTTATGTTCAAAGTTTTGTGCTGGATTACAGAACTTGCATCTTGGGTAGTTGCAACTGTTTTATGAAGTATTTGAAAAAATAGTTACAACTCATTCTGAATAAGGGTGAAGCCACAGCTCCTCCCGCTTTGCCTGTTTTCAAACAGCTGCCTTTTTATCAATGCCCCTCTGGCATTCAGTTCCTTAAGAAACAGTTGTGATGCCTGATAAACAAGTGATGTGTGTGTTTTGTTTTTGCCTATAGTGTGAACGAAAAGAAGAATTCATTGAAAGGATAAAACAACTAGATATTGAAACCCAGGCTGCGATTGTTTCACACATTCAAGAGGTAGGATTCTTAATTCCTTTGCTGAGCATCAGTAAGATCTGAACTGGGTAGACTTGGACTTTGAGAAACATGGATTGTGTGGCTACTCTTATGTTGTGTCTTTTTTAACGGGAAGACTTCTTGTCTGTCAGTGGCTAAAATTGATGCCCAGATATTTTATCTCCATCCCTGACTCAAACTTTCCCTTTATTCTGACTCCAGCCATCCTCTTAAACCCTTAATTGTGCTACTGTTACAATCATCTTCTCTAAGGAGAAGGGCTTTCAAGTGCAGATGGTAAGGCACTCTTCAAAACTTGGCATCTCTTCTTTTAAAAAATTAAGCATTTTGTGCATTATCTGTAGCAAGGTTCTGAGAATACAAGTCACTGAAGCAGTGCTTTGAAACTTTTAAAGCTTCATTACGATGCTACTTTTATACCTCTGTTATATTGCATTCTGGTTATCCAACATAAAACCATTCTGTTTCATCTCTCATGGAGTGGTAGTCCAAGGGGTACTGAGGATCAAGTTTTTGATGGTTACCAAACTGCTTTTTCCAAAAAACTGGGCTGTCATGCTTTAAGTCAGTTAGAATTTGAAGCATTTCCTGCAACCACAAGGGTTATGTGGAAAGCAGAATGTTCAAGTCTGAGAAGAATCCTTTGGCAAAGCAGGGACCAAGTGCCCATGCTGGTATGAGCAGATGTTATGTTAGTTAATGCAGGAATTACTGTGGAAATTTATTGGAATGTGTTTATTTACTTAGCCTACAGTTCTAGGCATAACTCGCTAAGACAAGTCCCGTTAATGCAGTGAGATATAAAGCTTCTTGACTGACACATGCCAAATAAATTTGTGGAAATGGCAAGCCCAGTCTTCAGGCAAAGCTCATGCACAGCTAGAACATATCTTTATCTTGTCGTCATCCAGTGACATCTGAATATCTACTGGTCAGAAATTAAAAATAAATTAATCGCTTTTCTTCTCTTTTCACTCCTCTACTCTCCTCTTTTCTTGATTTTAGGTAACCCACAATCAGGAGAATGTTTTTGACCTACAGTGGCTAGAGCTCCCAGATATGGCCCCAGAAGAGTTAGAAGCTCTTTCCAGAAATATGGTTTTCCATTTGAAGAGGCTGATTGATGAGAGAGATGAGTGCACAGAAGTACGTTCAAGGCATCTTACTGAGTTTTTAAAAAGTTGGTGTTTAATATAATGTACTTCATTTGAAGTATTAGTTTGGACTTTACTTCTCTATTAACCTTTTCCCCCATACTGATTTTCTCAACCAAATATTGACCAGTTAGGCAGCTATTCTTGCAAGAATGCAACTTAAGACTTTATCTGTTCTGGACTTAATTGACATTACACAAGTAGTGATAATATTTCCAGTAATGCATCCTTATGTGACAAACAAATAAGCTCAGTTTACCAGTTTAAAGTTTGTGTTAGATATAGTCTTTTGAAATTTTTGTGTTTTTAATGTCCTTATTTTCATTGTTGTATTGTTTTATATCCTACACTGCCTTTTCAACAGAAAAGGTGGTACGTAAATGTAAATAGATGGTAAAAATACTTTTGTAAGGCGTTTACTTTGCTCACCCTCTTGTATTTGAGCATGTTTGTGTAAATGAGCTGGTGAGATATGGCCCCAGAATTACTATGCAATTACTATACAATTTTGTGTTGCATGTGGAAGATAATATACTTTGAACATTTTCCCAGTCTATTTCTCCCTTCCTACCATAAACTACTACCTAAGAGGGCTACATTAAACATCTGCAGTATGCTTGATCATTGTACCCAAACAGCTGTTCATATGCGGGAACATGCAAAATATATGATTCACCAGCCAGAAATGGTGTAGTTCATGGGAAGGAGCCAACTGTTGCTAGTGGTGTGGTTTGCAGACATAACAGGAAAAACAGTTGTGCTTGCATGTGCTATATTGTTTTCTGGCTGCATAAAATGAGTAGTACAAGCAGCTGGACCCCACGATGTCCTCCTCTATCATTCCACTACCTCATTCTTTTTTGACATGTAGACATAGTCTAATTTTTGACCCAATACATATTCATTCAGTATCTCCACTCTTGCAATTCAAAAGCCTTTCCTCTTAATTTCAGTGTTCTGAAAAAACTCAGATGAGACACACAATGAGAGACACAGTCAAAGCCACTTCTGTGGATGGCTGGATTCACAGGAACCTTGTGTTTTACTTGAGTGCAATCCTATCCATTTTTTGACAGAAAAAGAGTCATTAACTCTCAACATGTTCCACTCAGCATGGCTAGACATGCATAGGATAGCACCTTAAGTTGGCATAATTAGACAAAGCTTTCTAGCATACATGCCCAGAGTGAGAAAGATCTGAGAGGAGCATGTCCTCATACAATGAAATAGGAAGGTGCCCTTCCTATTTCTTGCCAGAGCATCTTATGCTGTGACCCGACTAAATGATCTGGTTTGCATGATCAGCAAACCCATGCCTAGCAGAATAAGGATGGTTTGTGAGCACAAGTGAATAACTGGTTACTGAATACTCATCCACTTTTGCTTTGCTGACTAATACAGGAATGTTCCTGAGTTGTTCACCATGGTGTCAAACCCAGAAGTCTAGGGTGCTAAAGAGAAACCACACAGTGTTAATCTATGGTTTGTTGTTGGATTAACAAATTATGGGCTATTTACTAATCTGAACTGGGTCAATGTCTTGTAAATCTGGTTCTGGAGGAGCTGCAATTTTAAAAAAGGATGTGTTGATGAGGAGTGATAAGCACTTGTTTTACTGTCACAGAAAGGTCCTATCGCATTCAATAGGCTTGGGATAAACGGTGGCAGAATCCATCCCTCTAGTATCTGTGGACTCCCTTTTGTGCTCAACCCAGTCTAGGAAAGTGAGCAGAGCCAAGAGGAAGCCCACGAATGCTCATGGAGCGAAGGTTGTATGACTGGCAACCTCTTCTGCACCACGTGCGGCAACACAAACTCAGGAGAAGGGCCTGGCATGCGCAGCTATCACACGGGGTTTCATTTCTGGTCAGAGCCCCGTGCAGCCAGCCTTTGGGCCAGCTGCAGCAGCCCAAACGGCTGCCACACGTCATGTGGAAGAAGGACACTGCTAATGGTTACATGGAGAATGGTACCCCACATGGCCACTAGCAGTATCCCTCTTCTGCACCATGTGTAGCAGCCGTTGGGCCTCTGTAGGTGACATGGAAGAGGGCCACTGCTTGCACAGTGCATGGGGCCGGTTCCTGGAAGCACCCCATGAACGCCGAGCACACTCACCAGGAACTCAGACTCAGGGCTGCTGCAAAGTAGACTGGAGTCGAGCGAGCTGAGCCCAGGGGCTCTGATGGATTCCCATCCCCAGACAGGTTCCTCACACATGCCTATCATTCATCACACTTGTGAGTGATAGACTGAGCAATAGACTGATTGGCCACTCTGTGAACATATTGCTGGACTAGATGGAACATTGCCTTGATCCATCATGGCCCTTTTTATTTCCTCCTCTCCTTACATCACTGCAGTCTGTTCTCTCCTCTACCCCAGTATTTTCCCCCAGTGGAGTTCACATCTAGTATCTGATCTCGTGACAGAGAAAAGTGCTGGAACAGAGGCTAAGCTGCAAGGTGCTAGTCAGTGTATCTCCCGATTTCCAATATACATATTTCGGGCAGATGTGCATTTAAAGAGGCAGATGTGTTGCTGCGATGTCAAATTGCAGCCTTGCATAATGAAAATAGCAGGAGTCTTTCCCACTTGAAGCTTGGTGCTTTGGGATAAGCCTATGGAGTGCAGAAAAAAGTATGTCTGAAGGCATACCATGGAAACGAAGGTTTTCTTGTATTTATGCACCACTTGTGCAGTCTACCATACACTGGTCTCTAACTTTCAACTGCTTCAATAAATCAGAGAAGAACATTTGTGTGGACATGCTTTTTAAGACCATTGCCCCCTGCATCTGAAGATTATTTTTCATACTGTTTTCATTAGAAGCTGAACTTTGAGTACCCTTGTGTTTTTGCTAGCCTAAATGTCCTTAAAAGGAAGCATCATATATTTTCCTAACTTGAGCTTGCACAAAGGAAAATAACAGAAATATTCATTTCCTAAAACCTCAGACTAAGATTAGGACACATTACTCTTAGAAAAAATCAAGAAACCTTAAGGGTGCATTAGGGTGTTCTGTCTTTTACTGAATTATACAACTATCCTAAAGAATTGCCTATGCATCTCAAGTAGCGACTTATTAGAAGCAGGCAATACCAGCAGTAGTAAATGAGAGACACAGTCAAAGCCACTTCTGTGGATGGGTGGATTCACAGGAACCTTTGTTTTACTTAAGGTGCAACCCTATCCATTTTTTGACAGAAAAAAGGTCAGCAACTCTCCACATATTCCACTCAGCATGGCTAGACATGCACAGGATTGCGCCTTAAGTTGACATAATTTGACACAGCTTTCTAGCATACATGCCCAGATTGAGAAAGATCCAATAGGAGCATGTGCTCATACAATGAAATAGATTGTTACCATTGAACATACCATTTTATAAACCAGTTTCATTATCATTGCTACACATTTTACAATAGTGGAAGTTGCTCTTAAGGTGGTTCATAAAGGAGTCGGATGCTCTTCTGTGATTCTCCTCCTTGGACAGATACTAAGATGAAGAAAGGAGTGCTTCCATGTAGGGTCTGAGTCACAGTACCTCTATGCTGTGACATAAAGCACTTTTATATGCTGTACTATTATGTGCTTTCCTTTTCAAAGGGAAATAGTTAAGCCTGAGGGTTTGTAGGACACAGCAACCCATTGTGTTCTTATTAATCATGGGGGGCTGCTGTACCATGCACATGTACCTGTGGCTTCTCCTGCTGGTTGTTGGACACATGGGGGACTGACATGTTTTTAACACCTGGTGCACCAATCACGTTGTGGGTTCAGGGAACCACTGAGCATGCTCCTTAGGAGCAGCAAACATCCTTCCTGTCAGGCTTGCCTGAGCCCCCACGAGTGGAAGCTGGGCCACCAAGAGCGCAACTAGCACTTCAGAGTGGCCATCACTCACTTGCTCTCCCTGTTATAATCCCGTTTTCCCCCCAGAAATTGTTTTTCACAGACTCCAATCTGACCAGCAGCCAGTGACAGTCCCACCAAGTACCCAAGTGGCCATTGGAGGGGCTGGCACTGGTTTCAAGTTCTCAAAAGCTGTGTGCCCCAAATTTGAAGCTTTGCCTGGTTAGTGTCTTGATAAGTGCCTCCTTTTATATCAGGCACTATCCATGGGCATAGAAAAATCCAGTTTCAAATACGTTAAATTTGCGTTCACTTGGCAGCTGTCAAACAATGAGCAGTTGTGAGCGCAACACGTGTGAAGGGTATCGGAAGTACACCATCCCCTGCTAGTGAGATCTTTTTGGGTTTTAAGAGTGGACCTGACAGTTCTCAATGTTGTCTACTTTTCCAC